GCCTGGGCCGCATGAGCTTCGCGCTGTACCGCGAGGGCACGCAGGCGCCGCTGCTCTACCGCGTCTCGGAGCTGCCCTGGGCCGACTTCCCGCTGCCCGCGGCCGGCGCGGCCGGCACCTACAGCTGCTACTACCACACTCCGTCGGCCCCCTACGTGCTGTCGGCGCGCAGCCCGCCGCTGGTCATCCGCTCTGAAGGTGAGGGCCCGCTGCCCCGCAGCCTCTCCTAGGCCGGGTCGGGACCCCTCTTCCCCCAGACAGGGTCCAGCCCCGAGCCCCTCCCTCCCGCACACGGGTTTCCAGGCCTGCGCCTACCCCAGGCCCCGGGCCAGGCTCAGCCCCCTCCTCCCTCAGACACCCCACTTCTCATCAGCCCCCTCAGCTTGGAGGCTAGCAGTTGGGTCCCAGACTCCATGTGCCTCAGATCTGGTGGCGCGCGGTGACTGTCTCTCTCCCCTGCTGGACCCCAGACTCTGACTCCTCGGACTACACCCAGGGGAACCTCATCCGCCTGGGGCTGGCCGGCCTGGTCCTCATCTCCCTGGTCATGCTGGTGGTTGCTGACTGGCGCGGCCGGAGAGGGGCCCCTGGCAGCAGGCGGCCTGAAGCTCCACAGGACTGGCTCTAGACACCCGCAGGGGCGCTCTGCCAGGGCCGTGTGCGCCCAGACTCCAGCTTCCTGAGCAATAACCCCCCGTCCCATGCTGGCTGTGCAGGGGCCTCGGCCTTCTGGATCGTCCGTGGTTAAGTCTTTCTAGCCAGAAGACCTGAGTTCGGATCCCGTCGCTGCCTCTCTATCTCTGTGGGCTGCCAGGAGAGAGACTTCCCCAAAACTTGGCTGCCCAGCCCGAAAAATGGGTGCACTAGTAATACCCACTTCGTAGAAAGGCTGCAGTTAGTGGACGGCACGCAAGGACGTTTGGAGCCTACGGAACGCGCAGTGTTCGCCTCGACCTCACAGCGACCCATGGCCTCGCGGGTCGGTGGGCGGCGTGTCCGTCTCCCGAGGGCTTCCCGCGGGTCCCGCGCCTGCTTCCCACGTTCCCCTTCTGCTAAACGCCGCTCCTGTTTTTCTTTGACGTCTGTGTCATTTCCCCCACCGCCATTGCGCCAGCCTCTCCGGCCTTTCTCCCTCCCCTTCCGCTTAACTCAGAAGACTGACTTCTTTAAGAGAGTCCCAGGCTTTTAGAGTTCCTCTGCTCCGCCTCAGTGCCCGCCGTGTGAAAGTTCAGGGCTGTCGCTGTCCTCTGATCTGCTTGACTACCTGATTCCCTGCAGCTGCTTCCACTCTGCGTCACCCCTGATGGCGGCAGGTAGTCAGTGCACTGGGTGCACACACCCCCCTCCCCCAGTCTGTGGGTGCCGAGGCCCCTCCCATGAATCAGCGATTGTAAACAGTGCTGCAATAAACACGTGGAGCACATTTTTGGGCTGATGGTTTCATGTTCTTTGGAGAGTTTCCCAAAAGTGATTGCTGGGTCACACAGTCTTTCCATTCTTAGCTTTTAAAGGTGAATCCGAGGGCGCCTCAGCGCTATCAAGCTATGGGTAGCCCCTGCAGCACGAGTTGGACCCCCGGGGCGCAGCAGACCTGTCCTGTCTCCCACTGCCCCCTCAGCAGTGGATCTTGGTCCTTCCACCTGATTCGCTCCCTGCTCTGTCTCTGGGGATCTTCTCACCATCACCCCCCCCACCCCCTCGCACGTATGGCCTACACCTCAGCTCTTGTATCCATAAGAAAAGAAATCTTTTTTTAAAAGGTAAATTCGATGGTCACATATCATCTTCCCAGGATGGCTGCACCAGTACTATACACGACTTTATGTCACCCTATGCTAGGTGCTGTGCTAGTAACTGGGGAGTCAGCGGGGAGTAACGGAGCCGTAAACTCTTTCTGTGACGCTCAGGGAGAGGAGAGTGAATGAAGCTGTAGCAAAGAGCTCCTCTTCCTGTGGGAAATCTACACCAAAGTTTACTCCTCCCACTCACCAGGATACGGTGGAGCCTAGACAGTGTCGCTCTATCAGCATGTGGCTTCCTGGCCTGGCTCTGAGCCGCAGGAAAGACAGGAGGGGAGAGCTCACCCCGGGGCTGTGAGACGCGCGACCCAGGCCTTGACAGCGTCTCTTCGGTTCACACCCTGTTCTCCAGAACTCAGTGCAGGGGTGACAGGGTAAGGGTGGCCTACAGCGCGTGACCTCCTGAAATGACGGGAAGGGGCGTCACTTCAAGGAAACTGAGGGACGGGGAACGGCTAGCCATCTCCACCATCACGATGCAAAAAAAAGGGAAGGGAGCTTTGAAAGTCTGTAACAGGAAGGCTCGTTCTAGCCACAAACTGGCTAAAGAAGTGAAATAAAGCTGAATGCGGAGCGGACGTTAACGCTCCACGGGCGAAGGGGGCCAGCGAGGGCCCAGCGTGTGCAGGGCCTTGGAGGGTGAAGCCAGGTGGCTGTGGAAGCAGTGAGAGACGTCAAAGAGGTGTCAGGGCGTCAGGGTGAGACACACGGAGAGAGGAAGGCTGCTGCAATGCACTGAGCTTAGCTGAGGAATATTAAGGAGGACAGTTGCTCTTTGGAGGGAAATTTGAGCAACGCGGCCGGTCTTGGCGGAGACCAGCGCTCTGCGAAGGCCTTCCTGGCAAAGCCTGGACGCCGCCGCCCTCGGGCATGTTTCTCTTCGCCGTGCGCCCTGTACTTACTGTCCTCTCTAGGTAGGCGTGACTATACGTTTAGCTTTTTCCCTGTGCATGTCGGGCACCCATCATCGAGAGTGTGCCTACGGTCCCACATGTGAAATGTGGCTCTGAGGACCCCTGAAGAGCCCTTCCCGCCAGAGACTGGATGAAGATTTCTGACAGACGGTGAGGAGACATGTAATGGTCAGTCATCTGCAAACCTGTCAGACATGTCTCTTCTGCCTTCTGCCAAAGTTCTTTTTTTTTTTTTTTTTTGCCTTCTTTTAGAAGCTCATCTCATTCTCTTCGAATTTTCACTTCCCCATATCTCCCTTCTCATCTCTGTCACTCAGGGCTGCTGTTGCTCCAACCCACAAGCATCCGCTCTCTGGACATAACCGGAATGTTTCACATGTCATTTCCACTCACGTCTGGTCTACCAAGAAGACTGCCACTTCTCTGTACAAGAGGAACGTCTGTTTATTCCGGAGGGCCTGGGGTCCGGCCACATTCTGTCACTGTGGAGAAGGGGTCTTGGGTGTTGACAGTGACCTCGCAACTGCTCTTGTATTTTGCACACTTGTGAGCAAGACTTAGAAGCCACCGGCCTGAGCTCTGTGTTAACTTAAGACTGACTGGTTTGAGCACCTGTTGCAATAGCTATTCATCACTTCCTGGATGTGACCGGGAGACAAAGTGTGGATATGTGAGAGCGGAGGGTTAAACTAAAGAAGCTGTTCTGGAGTCAAGACAGCAAGCAGGAAGAAGAGCCTTGAGGAGGTTTAGAGGGCCACCATGCTCCCCCAGTTCCTCACTCTGCTCTTCACTGGTAAGACCTCGGGGCAAGGAGGGCCACTGTGGGTGGCAGTGGTTTGGGCTGTGAAGGCAGCTGGAGCTGGTGAGATACTTGTAGGTAAGGGGGAGGATGGGTAAGCAAAGACTAGAAACTTCCATTTTCTATTTCATGGTATGTGTGGTGAATGAATTGAGGCCTTTCACACACCTGTTTTCCAAAATTCGGTCATTCCCGAACTTCTCACTGACATTTTATTTTCTGAAGTGATGACTGTTTTCTTACTACATGATATTCTTCATCAGAATGTCCCGAGTTTTCATATTGTTATTTTTATCCTTAACTCTATAAAAAGAATGTCTATCAATGGGAAACCAGCAACCCACATAAAAATACAAGATGCTCATCAGCACTTAATCAGTGGGGAAATAAAGTAAAACAGTTGAGTTTGAGGTTGCCCCCCCAGATATAGGGGCACCTTCTCCCCAGCCTTGTGCCTAAGAGAGATGAGTGAGTGCAAGTCAGCACCCAGTCACGGCACCTCCGCACTCAGGGTGACATTATGTAATCTCATTTCACTGGAAGTCACTTGATAGCGTGTAGAAATTTTCTGCAGAGTCCTTCTTCTCCCCGTATTTCTTACATGCCAGAAACCTGAGGCTGGCAGCTGAAGGAGCACCAAGCAGCTACTAAGGGCAGACGCTGCAGGCAGATTCTGGCCCGCACAGTTCTAAAGACCACAGGTTTTCCACTGAGCCAAACGCTGAGGCCATGTGGGGTCTTTAGGGTGGAAATGTTTGGAGGGTGAATACACGAGTTCATGGTTGTGAAAACCCCCAAGAAGGCACATACACGGTGAATCCACTTTTTAATGTAATTTTTAAATGTAACTACTCAACACCTGTAGGACCATCCATCATCAAGAAGAGAAGAGGTGTTAAGTGTGTGGCCAGGATGTGGGGAAAGGAAACCTCGTAGACTGCTGGTGGGAATGTAAACTGGTGCAGCCCCAGTAGAAAACAGTGTGGGGTTCCTCAACAAATTACAAGCAGCACCACCATGTGAGGCGTCCACCCCAGCTCTGGGACAGATTGCTCCCTGGAAGAAGTACCTGCACCCACACGGTAACTGCAGGTAACGGAAACCAAGAAATGGAAACCTTCTTAGTGTCCACCAACAGATAAATGGATGGAAAAAAATGTGGCCAATATGCACAGTGGAAAATTATTCAGTCTCAGAAAAGGATGAGATTCTACCATTGGCAACAAGGATGAGCTCTGAGGGCCTTATGAGCCGTGAGACGAGTCAGAGGAAGACAGCTACGGTGTGATTTTACTTACATGTGGAATCCTAAAAAGCTGAGCTGTAGAACCAGAGTAGTGATTTTTCAGCAGAAGATGGTCTGGGAATGAGGAAGTGTTGGTTGCACATAAGCTTCCAGGTATGAAACGATTTGGGGAGCGAATGTACAGCATGGCAACATGTTATGTACTTGACAGTTGCTAGAAAACAAAACCCGAAACCACCAAACGCTCGTAGGGATAAAAGTCTTTCCCGGCAGAGCTGTTGTGACGAGCCAGTTGCACGACCCCCTTCGCACTCCAGGGGGGATGGAATCTCCTAGTGAGAGCCCTTTTCGATTTGGAGGCTCACTCTGAGAAAAACGCAGGGCACCTAATGCCAGAGATGCCTTTTCGCTACCCAAGAGACAGGAAGGAGGAGAGCTGAGGACACAGCCCAGGCTGCGGGCAGACAGGCGCCGCGTCATGGGCTCGGCTCTGCCCACCGCCCGGCCCGGGCCCAGGCGGGGGACAGGGACAGTCAGTGCTGTGCTGGAGGCCATGCCGAGGGGGGCGGCGCGTGGGAGGTAGTTTCTGAAGTTCCAGAAGCCTCGGTGAACAAGTCCCTTTCCGGGGGACTTCCATCTCGGCTGCGACTCTGGGTATCTTCAGAGCAGCAGGCAGAGCGGGGCTCACTAAAACCGACGTGGGCTTTGCCAGCCACGTGTTTCTCTTGCCTCAAAGCTGCTCCCCCGCCAGAAGCAGCCAGGGCACAGGGTGGGGCTGGCGCCACCGGCAATGTAGGCACTGTAAGGAGACGCCCTGGACGAGACCCTTAGGGCGCAGGCAGTTGGGAGGTGAGGCTGGTGTCCTTTGCCTTAGCTTCCACCGCGAAACAAGGAGCAGACCAAACGAAAGCAAAACAAACCCTAGAAATCTGACTGCAGACCCGAGGTTACTTGGGGGGGGTGCCGGAAAAGGTGGGGAGCAAAGGGGAAAGGGAACCCAGTGGGCATTGATGGAGGATGGTGGACTCTGCTGATGGGTTGCAGGGTGGTGAGGCAGATGAAGACACATGACTCTGTGGTATTCTGGACACCCCGCCCCCCCAAAAAACATGTGGATCCAGGTAGTCTCTGGGAGAAAGAGTTCACCAGAGTTTTGGGTGACCCAGTCTGAGACACTCACGCGTGAGGAAACCACGCAGAAGGATGCACTCTGGCTACTGTAGGAGAGCGGAGCCGGGGACTAGGAGGAAAATGTTTACGCTTAGGTCCGTGGGGTGCACGGGGGGGGGGTCGCCGTTGTCCTGGCGGCTGTGCCAGCCACGCCCACACCAGCTACTGTCCCACTGTGGAGATGTGGACAGCAGCCTTCCCTGGAAGGCAATTTTTATTTATTTGTTTATATATAATAGTTTATTTTTACATCATTTTGTGCCTTTCCCATCTCAGTTGTAATCCCCGTGGGCTTCCCATCACCAGATCACCCTGTGCCGTCACCACAGTCCAGTGCATTTCCCCCCCCATTTTTGATCCCACTCCCCACGCCACCCCCATAAAATGTCTCTGGCATATAGCTGTATAGCTGTTCATTATTATTTTCTCGCCTGGTCCATTATACTCCTGCTCTGACTGAAACCATCCGGTATTTTTCCTGTTCTTTCTGGCTGATCTCACTAAGCAGGATCTTCTCCAGCTCCATCCATGTTGCTGCAAAGGGCATGTGTTTGTCTTTTTGGTTGCTGAGTAATCTTCCACTGTGTATATGGACCACATCTTTTTTATCCAGTCATCTACTTTTGGGCATTTGGGCTGCTTCCATGTCTTTCCAATTGTGAATAAAGCAGCAATAAACATGGGGGTGCAGGTGTCTTTTTGAATCAGTGTTTTTGTGTCCTTTGGGTAGACTCCTAGGAGTGGGATTGCTGGGTCGTAGGGAAGCTCCATGTTTAGCAGTTTGAGGAACCTCCAAACAGTTTTCCATAGTGGTTGTACCAGTTTGCATTCCCACCAGCAGTGCAGGAGAGTTCCTTTTCTCCACATCCTCGCCAACATGTGTTGTTGCTAGTTGTTTGAAGATGTGCCATTCTCCCTGGGGTGAGGTGGTGTCTCATTGTGGTTTTAATTTGCATCTCCCTTATTATGAGTGATGTTGAACATTTTTTCATATGCTTGTTGGCCATCTGCATTTCCTCTATGGAGAAGGGTCTTTTTTTAGCTCTGGAAGGCAATTATTAATGAGAACTTCACACCTTGCCTGGTGCCTTTGGCTAGTCTGGTGGGCTGGATTGGACCCGTGAGGGCAGGGGCTGCCAGTCAGCGATTTAGACCAGCTGCCCACACAAAAGTCTTGGTAGCTTAGGCCAAGATTTAATGTCCCTGTTTAAACAGGGTCCTGGGCAACTCAGCAGGTGCCTGACGCCCTTGTTCAAAGGCAACTCACCTCACACTGACTTGCAGTCTCTCACCTAGAGCGCCTCAACACCCCTAAATCGCATACATTGTTTAAACCAACATCACAGCAATAAAATTTACTACAGTTGAAAAATAGGACGAGATACACTAGAAGACTAAGACGGATAAAGGGTGGATGGTGGGTGAAATGACAGCATTGTCTGAGCTCTTGGGGACATTGTGAGGGGAGAGGAATGAGGCATGGTGAGTGGGACAACATGCGACATGAGATGAGACATGGCCTCCGGATGGCCATTCACTGATCCGGAGTGTAGGGGCTGTTCCTGTGCCACCCGAGGAGAATTAAGGTGGAAGATGGGACCCCAGTGGCTGGACAGTGGACTCTACGGTGGCCTGCTAATCCTGGGCTATCTGGGCGGTTCCCCAGGTGACCCTACAGGAGAGAGGAGCGAGGGGAAGGGGGTCAGACCCACCCACCAGGCCTGGCCTTGAAGATGGAAGAGCCACGGCTGAGGAAGGAAGGAAGCAGGAAAGGCAGGAAATGGAGTCTCCCTTGGGCCTCAGAGGGAGGCCCCTGGCGGCGGCTGGATTTCAGCCCAGTGCCACTGGATTTCTCTAAGTTGCACACTGAGGGGAGCTCATTGGTATAAGCCACCGCGCTTGTGGCAACCACAGTTTCTGCCACCACGTGGGTTCAGGGCAAAGCCGGGACTGCTGAAGAACGTGATGCAGGTGATGAGCCCCGGGGGGCTCCACCTCACGGCCCTTCCCTCTGCAGGGCTGCGTGTCAGCCAAGGAGACACGGCAGGAGGAGGTGAGTGTTCCCCCCGCCGACCCCCTCCAGCCCTCGCCTCCCTTCCTCCAGGGGCCTCTGGGGGGCAGGTGGGGGCTGGAATCCTGGCCTGACCTCTGCCTCCTCCAGGGTCCCTGCCCAAGCCCTCCCTCACCGCCTGGCCCAGCTCCGCGGTTCCTCAGGGCAGTCCCGTGAGGCTGACGTGCAGGGCTCCCATCACGGACCTGGGGAAGACTTTTCTCATAAGGGGAGGACTTACCGTGGAGGACATGTCCTCGTCTGAGACGACAGGGGGCCTGGCCTACTTTAACTTCACTGGTATACAGTCCAGTCAAGCTGGATGGTACACCTGTGAGTACCAGAGGAAAAATAAGCCCCGAGATACATCACCACGCAGTGAGGCCCTTCTGCTCCTGGTGACAGGTGAGGATACCTGGGCTTCCCGGGGCTGGCGGGTGAGGGAGGAGCCCGAGTCGGAGGAGGCAAGGGCGCCCCTCCAATGCAGCTGGGGGGCTGGGGGAGACGAGCGGAGCTGGTGTTGCTCACCCAGGGCTGAAGGAGGCAATGTGCTCCTGGAGCTGGGTGGGAGAGGAGGGGCCCGGAGTCTGCCCCGCCTCCCCAGAGCCCCCTGACAGGACGGCGTGACCCTGGAGCCTTCTTGTCTTCCAGGTTACTTCCCTAAACCGAGACTCCAAGCCCCGCCAAGGGGAGAGGTGCCCGCAGGAGGGAATGTGACCCTGCAGTGCCACTGGCCCCAGCACATGACTGAGGCTACACACTTCGCGATACTGAGGGCAGGAGTGTCATCGACACCCACCCAGGTCTGGGTGTCACAGAGGAGGGGGGCCAGCTTCTCCCTTCTGAATGTGACAGCCAGTGACAGTGGGAACTACAGCTGTGTGTACCACCAGACCCAGGCTCCATTCCTGGCCTCACACCCCAGTGATCCCATCTCCATCCAGGTGACAGGTAGGGTTATTCCCACTTGGGGGACATAGTGAACTGCCTGCCAGCTGCAGACAGCACGTACAGGGGCCCCAAGTTCCCATAGAGCTCTGGACCCCGGGAAAATCATTTTGGAAGAATCAAGTGAGGACATTGACCCTATGGGACAGTAGAAGGGGCCTTCACTAAGAAATAGGTAGTGGAGAGTCCATCAGAGCTGGGCATGGGGCTTCCCCACGGTGCCCACGTGGACTTTCAGGCACCAGGACGGGGTGAAGCCTCCTGGTGAGGCAAGATGCAGCCACATCGTGGTCCTTGCTCCCGGCAGGGCGCCACCCTTTCAGGCTACAGTGTGAAGGCGTCTCCTAGGGATACGAGGAGGTTCCAGCCCAGAGGCCAGGGAGGGGAAGTGCGGTCACTGCCCCGGGGATGCCTCTCTCAGACAGATGCAGTGACTTCCAGAAAGATCGTGTTCCCCTTTCATTTGCACTCGACACTTCTGCTTTTTAGTTTAATCGAGCTGAGTTTTCTTTCCGTGCCTACCCCTTTCTTTCCCTTTGAACATGATGATTTTTTAAAAATGTTGTGGTAGAAATGCATAAGTAAATTTTATCATCTTCACCATTTTTAACAGCACAGTTCAGTGGCCCATTTTATCTAATTTAGTTCATTTGTTTGGTCCCTGTGTGGCATACAAGTGAAATAATACAAGTTCTGTGTGACTTATTTCACTCGATAGAATACCCTCAGTCATATCCACGTTATTGCCAATGGCAGGGCTTTCTGCTTTTTAATAGCTGCGTAGTATTCCACGGTGTCTATACACCACATCTTGATCCACTCCTCTGTCACTGGCACGTAGCTGTTTCCAGCTCTTGCTTACCGCATCTGCTTTTCTGCCACTGGCTATTTCCCTTTGGGGTTACAGACCCCAAAGTAGAATTGATGGCTCGTATGGCAGTGCTCTCTTTTTAATTTTTTTAAAGAAAGAAGTGATGGGAGCGGGCAGTGAACTTCTCTGAACTGCCAGCTTCTCTGAAGCACAGCATTCGAGGAGAGGAGTCTTTAGAAGGAAAGAGAGAGGTGGTGGGCGTCACATCAGAGCTCACTGCAGCTGACGGTGGCCCCACGTCGGCTGTGCCAGGCACCTGGTGATCCTGTACCTGTGTCAGCCCTTTGGGTTTTAGCTTGCTTATCTGTAAAATCAACCTGTCCTTGCTCTATCTTGACCTCTCTGCACCAGAAGGTTACAAGCAGCCCTGTGGCTGCGGGCGACCATTAGAGACCCGGTCTGAGAGCAGGTGCAAGAGTAGTCAGTGGGGGTGACTGCAGGCTCATGGAAGTGCGTGTCAGTGTAGGTCCCGGGGAGCACTGGAGAAGGCGGCCAAGAGGCTCCACTTGTCTCTTCCTGGAGGCCACAGTCATATTTTCTCTAGAAGAGCGCTCCCTGCAGGTGGTGGTAGCCAGAAAACCATAACCCCTAGGGCGGAGAGAGATGTCTAGCTGACCACATGTTTACATTGTGCACATACAAATATAGACAATAGACATGCTTAGATGTAGATACGCATCTATATGTACACAAGTATATATGTTACAGATGCATATCGTATATATCAATTATACGTGTGCGATAAACCTTTCACCCTACCTGTTAGAACTTACTTTCCTTTGAGAAATTCCAAAAGCAGTAACAGAAAAAATAAGTTATGTGTGTGGGGGGTGCCGGATGCCGCTGTCTGCGGACACTGTGTCCCACATCTAGATACATGAGCGGCGTGAGAAAGCACTGACGGGTCGAAGTGGGCGTGACAAGCTGCGCTCTGCAGGGCAGGCTGAAACCCAGCAGAGAGCGGCCCGAGGCAGGCGCCGCGGGTCTTCGTGCGGCTGGATGAGGCCCCCCGCATTGCGGACGTGACCAGCTTTTCTCAGTCTCTGCCTTGACTCTTAGTCAATGCAAAAGAGCAACAACCCGTTTGACCCTAACAACTGGGAACCAGAGCACAGCCAAGGTGCCACGTAACACCAACAAGCCGACTTGGGGTCTTGGGGTACTGGGGAACACTTCAGAGATACTGTCTCCTTCCTCTCTGCACCGTATTTCATTCTGTTGCCTCGATGCAGCTAAAACTCAGAAAGCGATCCTTCCACGAGCCAGTGGGAGAGCTGCTAAGCCTCCCCACTGTTTGAGAAGCCCGAGACGACCACCTAGGAGAATTAACGGAAGCTGCGCCCAGAGTTTTACTTGTTCCCATTAGTCACACTTGCTCCAAGTTGTCGTTTTTGCACAAGTCAAGGTGAGAAGAGCCCCCCTTTCCTGCCAGCCATGTGCACGGTTCTGCCTTCCCCGGGGCGATGCCCACCCTGAGGCTGGTGCCAGCCTTCCGGGCATGCTTTCACGGTGCAGATTTGCTTGGGAATTCATCGTGATAAAAAAAAATGTATAGGGCGATAGATGTTCTACATTTTTTTTAACTCAGAAATTCTGTTTCCCAGATAAAGAACAGCAGGGGACATCCAAAGGACTAGGTAAGAGCACAGACGTTCTGCAGACACGCAGGCGGTCCGGCCTGGGGCGGGCTTTCCTGCCGAAGCAGCAGGAGCCGCGAGGCCTCACGTGTGTTTCCACGTGCTCGGACCCTGCCGGCTCCTCTTCCAAGGAGCAGGGTGAGTCTCAGCGCCCCCTGCTTCCTCGCTCCGTGGCTGGGAATCAGGCTTGCACTCTGTCCCTGCGGGCGGATGCCCGGGACACGGGCAGAGGGCTGTAGTCCATTTCCGTTGTGCCGGGAACTCAGAGCCGGCGCCAGGACGTGGCTGTGTGTCTCTCCCCGCTCTCTCCCCACCAGGGGCCACAGAAGTCACCCTCATTGCCGTCTTCACTTCACTGCTCCTGCTCCTCACAGCTGTGCTCATCTACAAACACGCCCGATGTGGTGAGCTCAGGAGGCCCAGGCCCAGTCTGGGGGCGCCGGGCAGGAGGATGCTCACACCAGGGCCATTTCATCCCCTTCTCTTTCATCCCCAGGGGCAGCTCCTGGCAAGGTGACCGCAAGGTAGGGCCCGTCAGGAGAATCCCACCGGCCTGGCCTTAGCTCGTCCCATCCTTGAGTGAACTACTTCATCTTCCTCGCCTCCACCTGCGTGGTCCCCCACCAGCTCCAGCCACCACCCAGCTTTCCCTCCATCTTCTCCCTCCTAACGCTCACCCCCTCACGTCAGCATTCAGTGTTCTCTCCTTGGGGGCTTTCCTGACACGGCGCACACCCCCACCCACTCCTTGCTCCTTATTTCTCAAGACTTCTCCCGCCTGGAGCCTCTCGAGACGGGAGTCCGAGCTGGGAGCGGTAGGGAGCCGGTTTTACCGAAGACGGTGTCTTGCGCCCATCACCACTCTTACGCACACAGTCTGGTTTTCTCTCTCAAGTCTCCTTTTCCCTAATGCTTCCTTCTGCTTCTCTTCCTCAGCCCCCACTCGTGGAAGGAACCTGAAGAAGCGGAGACAAGTAATCACGGCTGCGCGTGTGCATGCTTGGATGTGTGTGGATGCGATGTGCGTATGTGTTTTGCGCGCACGTCAGGCTGTGTATTCGAGTGTGGTGGGTGTCCAGGACCTTCACATGCACGTGAGCCATGTGCGTGCGTGTGATTTGTGAGCGTGAGGTGCGCGCTTGGATGCGCGTGTAAACGTGTGAGCGTGTGCAGCGTGCCTGGGCGTGTGGCGGGGCCTGAGGACGCGTGTGTGTGCAATCCTGTGCCCACGTGGGTGTGGATGTGTGTGCGGTGTGTGTCTGAATGAGTACGTTTACGGGTGTGGGGACCTGACCCCTGGAGCTGGGTTGAAGCAGCACTCTCTCCCCTCCCAGATGCATCTGTTCCCAGGCTGAGCTGCTCTCCGGCCGCGGTGAGTTTCCGCTATGGGGCTTTCCTTTAGCCCCACCCCGCTCCAGACCCTCCATCTCCCCCCAGCCCACCTCCCGCTGGGGACAACCTGGTCTGACCGCTTCTGTGGCGTCCCTGGCCATGGGACCTTCTCCCAGGCTCGGTCCTCCGGGAGGAGCGACCTGTTTCTCCTAGGAGAGACAGAGCAGACAGCCACAGAGCGATCACTAGGACTCCTCACCGGTGTGTGCATTCGTCACCTTGAAATGATGATTAGCAGCAGCGGCATTATGCAACCACTGGTATCGGGATGTTTCCCGCCATGAGCCTCAGTTCCTGCATCTGGACACCGGTGACACAGACCTGCAGGTGGCCAGTTCTAGGCACGGCAGGCCCTAATCGCTTTCCCTTACAGTTCAATTTTGTTTTCAATTCTGCAAGACACACCTAACATGAATTCCCCATTCTCACGTTTACGACCCAGTGACATTTGGGGCCCGGCAACAACTGCCTGCGACAGAGCCCTCTTCACCCAGAGGAGACCCCACGCCCTTCTGGCCGTCACTCCCCTCCGTCACGAGCTTCCCGTCCCACCGGGCTGGCCTTTTCTGGACATCTCACATGAACACTTACTTCACTAGTGCAGGACCCCCCAAGGTTGGGGGGAGGGGGCTTAGCTGGCAACTGGTCATTTTGAATTAGGAGAAATTGGGGGACATTGGAGAATGAGTTTTTCCCCTCATCATCTGTCTCTTTAAAATCAGGGATCTCTGGTGAGGGAGGAGGGAGAAACTGTTTTAAAATGACAAGACTCACTTCACTGTCTGTCCTCTGGACCTCTTTAGATGAGGCGACTATTTGAAAAGTCATTCTAGATGCCTACATGCAGTTCCTAACACATTTCTCTGTTCAAAGGAATCTCTTCGCATCCCATCCTCACTGAGTTGTTTTTCAATGTTTCGCTGAAATATAGCAGTTGATTTCCCTGCCTCCGATCTTCCCCATAAATTGTCTGCTGTGAAACGGACTCACCTTTTGCAAAGACCCATCCTATCCTTTCTGTCCCTTTGCTCCTTTCTCGCCCCTTCTCCTCAACTCAAAGTCCTCGGGATATTTTTTAATAGGCACAATTCTTGGAAGCGTTCTATGCTGTCTAATTGTCTGCTATGCAAACGACCGGTATTTGTAAAGTTCTAATTTGCTTGCTACCCACAGTTCTCTTTAGCTCCTCTATCTTGTTGAAAATGGCCGCACTCATCCTTTCTGGTGGCTGTATAATCTTCGGTGGAGACGGTCGAGCACATCACCCACCCAACATCCACTGATGGGGCTGGGCGAGTGTCACTGCCTTATCCAGGCTAGTGCTTGCAAGGGCTATTTCCAATATCTGTGAGGATAAACGCTGCAAAATTCCTCGTAAATTTCTCTTAAACTTACAGTCTAGATACCACAAAACTTTACTGGAATGACCAGAAAATGGATTCCCATTCTAGGGACTTCCATGTGCATGTGATGAAAGCTTCTTTTCACTTGTTAAGGTCTCTTATGTCAATTATTGTTATTTAGTCTTTACCTTATTTTCTAGTCCATGGTCTCTGTAGGGTAGAGAAAGACCAGCTTCCTCCTCAACAATAGCTGGGTGGATGAATTACGCACTACCGCTTAGCAAATTGTTCCCAAACTAGGAGCTTGGTGCAACGTGATGATCTCACAGCTGCTATAGGGCAGGCCCTCGCTGGGACCTCTCTGGGTCTCAGAGCTGTGAACAAGGTTTTGGTCAGGGCTTGATTACGCGAGGGTTCGCTTCCGCATCCGCTCAAGGGGGTTGTTGGTAGGATTCTGCAACTTGCTGCCTGCTGGCTGGAGACCACACGGGCGACACAGGCCCCCATGCTGCAGATCCTGCAAAGGCGGCTGGTTTTATCAGCTTGAGCAGATGAAGAAGGAAACAGCGAAGTGTGAGAAAGGCTGCAGGCTCTCATGTCTCGGTCTTGGTCACGACACCCCCTTCTTTCTGTACTCTTTGGGGAGATACAAGTCCAGTCAGCCTCAAGAGGCGAGGGGACGTCACCGGGACATAAAGAGGAGGAGGTTCTGGGAGATGGCTTAGAGAGCTGTCTACCGCGTTGCGATGGTTGCTAAGGCTTCAGTCAAATTCTCCTCCGGGAAGCGCCTGACGGCTTTCTCCTTGTTTACTGTCAGGATGAAGGCACTTGGATGTCAAGAGCTGAAGAACCCTATGGAGTGACTTATGTTGAGCTGAACACCAGGTCCCTACAGGAGCACCCTTCCAACCAGATGAACCAGTCTCTGGAAACCTGTGTCTACTCAGTCCTTAAAGCATAGGGTGGGCACCCTCCCTATGCTATGTGCGGCGGGTTAAAGCGCAGCACTGAGAAGCTAAAGCCACTTCAGCATGAGTTCGATTCCAGCCTGCCCCGGAGGTGACCACATGGCGCGGCAGACCTCTCCTGACCCGCCCGCTGCTCCCTCAGCAGTGGACTTCGTCAGTCGGCCTGTTCTGCTCCCCACTCTGTCTCTGGTAGATCCTCTTACCGCCCCTGAGCCTCTGGCCTGTACCCCAGTTCTGTATGCACAAATAAATAAGTCTTTTTAAAAAAATAGTCAGGGTACCCCGGAAAGAAGAACCTTTGACGAGAGACACAGTGGAGACGGGGCAGAGGATCGTGGGGGACGTAGGGCAATGGGGAGCCTGCTCCTCCAATCCGCTCTGCTTCCTTCTGAAACGGCTTAAGCGAGCGGTGTTTCTCACACTCAGTGATAAGCCAGCCAGAGGAGCCGTCGGGCGGGCAGGGCTGTGGTAGACTGACCGTGGCTCCGTCGCGGACGGCTCTGGCTCAGGGGTATCAGCCTGACCTCTGGGGGCTGGCGGGGGGCAGGAGGGGTGTCACCCATGCAGGCTCTGGACACAGGCTCAGGGGAGCTGCTGGCCAAGGCAGACACCCACGTCCGGGGGAGGGGTTCACCCTGAGAATACAGGAAGCAGACCTACTCTGTGTCGCTCCATTTTACAATAAAGTCATGCCGTTATGTCAAATTGTGTGTTCCTGGCAGATTATTGAACCTGAGTTAGTAGTGGGAAACTCCAGTTTCCAGGCCGTTGGTCAGAAGGGCAGGAGACCCGGGGAACCTGAGCTTCCAGCCTCTGTCCAGAGTCAGGACGTTTTTGTGACGCTGAGCCCGAAGCCCCTGACCTGTGCGCAGACTCCAGGGGCTGTGGGGATTGTGTGGCGGCTCAGGAGTGACTCCCCCACCCAGCGCCATCAAAAGTCAAGTTTTGAATTGGATGCTGACCCTAGTCAACACCTTGGTGGCAGCCCGAGGGCCCGAATGAGACGTGTCACATACACCCTGGGCTTGTGTAATATCATTTCGCAGCAACAGCTCATCAGCAGACCCACACAGACTTGTGCATCTTCCACAGAATGAGGAAACAGCTTCGCCTCCGTGGGCCAAGACAGGGTGTGAGACATCAGATAATTTTCTGGAAAGGGAATGGGCTTTTGTTTGAAGCTTTATTTTATTTATGAATGCCTGCAAGAGCTGGGGTGTAAGCCACAGGTGTGGGGGGGGCGTGAGAGGATTCACCAGAGAGAGTGGGGAGCAGGACAGGCGCATCCACTGACATCCACTGCAGGCAAGACAGGAGAGGTCTGCTGCACCCTGTGGGTCAGCTCCCTGGCCAGGGATCGAACTCAGGCCACAATGGCTAGTGATAGCTTGATAGTGCTGAGACTTTAAGCCGCTCGCTATGGTGGAAGCCCCAGGAATTGTCTTTGAGGAGGCCTTGTTGGGGCCCATTTACATGTCTCCATTACCCGGCTCAATGTGATTCTAGCAATTTTTGGCAGGAAGCACAGGCTTGGACCTGGATGGAAGGTGGTAGATGGGTCAGCTAAGATTGGGTTGACCTGGGGCTCACATTTCTAACTTGCAGAGGCAAGTATTTTTTGAGCGAAGGAAGCGTCAGCGGGGCTGGTTCAGCACATGGGGTAGAAGAGATATGGAATCTTGCAGTTTCAGATATGCTGATAATTTCTTTTTGGGGAACTCACTGGCCAGTAAGGGCTATCAGTTGTACACACACTTTGCAGGAGTTGAGAAAGAATTTAGAGACCACAGTTTCACAAAACACTGTGGAACTCAAAGAACCTGGCGCTACACCCAGTCAAGGTGGGTCCGCAGGACTATGCCTGGTGGCTGATTCTGGTGGGAGCTGGTCTGAGCTGTTCTGTGGACGGATAAACGGGCGTGCTGGTCCCGGAAAGGGACACATGATTAACAGTACTGCTTTGTAGCCGGGGGCCGCAGAGGGGGTGCGGGAGGGGTTCTATCAACTTGCCACATTGCTACTTCACTTTTTCAGAGAAGTGAAGGGGGGACTCGCAGGGGCGAAGTTCAGCTGAGTCACCAGTGGGCTCTGACATGGGGCTGGCCGAGCAGCAGGACACCAAACCTCAGCGACGTACATACATTCCATGGCCATCGTGCGGGAAGTAACCCCAACCAACGATTCATTTCGGCTTTCCTTGTTCCCAAGTCAGAAGCTCTACCCATGCTGCCCTTAAAAAGAGGATCCCCTGGGCCCTCCCTGGTGGCGCAGCGGGTTAAAGCACTGCACTGAGAAGCTAAACCCACTTCCGCATGAGTTCGATTCCTGCCTGCCCGGGAGGTGACCACATGGTGTGGCAGACCTCTCCTGACCCGCCCGCTGCTCTTCTCAGCAGTGTACTTCGTCGATCTGTCTGTTCTGCTCCCCACTCTGTCTCTGGTGAAGTCTCTCACTGCCCCTGAGTCTCTGGCCTGTACCCCAGTTCTGTATGTACAAATAAATAAATTAAAAAAAAAAAAAGAGGATCCCCTGGTCCTTGTAGCCAGGGCCGCTTACGCTCATTTTCAAGCTATCGCTACTATGTTGTATCAGTTTTGCACCCAGCAGATGCTCAGCACGGCCCTCTGGGGTTCTATGGGTCTCTCCTAACGATGGACCTGGCTGCCACAGCTAGTGAAGGAACTGCCTGGCATCAGTCCTTAGCTCCTGGCCAATGGACAACATCGAGGAACCTGAATGACCACCAGTACCATCACCAGCAAAGCATCTCCTCAGTAGAAGCCAGTTGACTCAAGCCCTAGGTGGTGGTGGGGGGCGGGGAGGGGAGGTAGTTGCCTATCTGATATCTAAAATTTGATTGAGACAGACAAGGATTTTCTGTGAATTTGGTGCTTTAAGATCGGCTCGGAAGACAATATTACAGTTGCAACATCAGCGCAGTGACGGAAGTTGGCTGTGGGAGGGAGGCCCTGAAAGGTCACTGCAAAGCCACTGGTTCCCACACGCTAGTCTCAGCTCAGGCTGTGTTTGTGACCATCCCAGCTTCTCTCGCTGCTGAGGACCCCACACAGAAGGCCCCTGGACAGACTGATCAGCCACTATGATCCCTAAGCTACTTTCCCTCCTCTGTTTCAGTAAGTCTTGGGGGCAGAAAATTGGTGTGAGGTGTAACGATAAAGTAAAGGCAAGGGAAATCTAGCAATGTCAGGATATTTTAACTACATCCTGCTCCTTTCCAAGCCTTAAGTCTGAAGCCTCATAAAGGTGTTTCAGTAGAATGGAGCTGCGTCAGAGACTAGTGGCAAATGGCTCGCGTGCTGATATAGCCAATGGCACCATAGGCCTGTTTACGGAACGCCATCATGTAAAGCTTAACTATCTCCCACGCACCAAACATCACCACAGGTAACACCAGTGGGGTATGCTCCACATTTGGGAGCTAACACTCTGGTCCTTCCCAAGACAACGACAAAACAACAAGGGCCAGACTAAAATGCACTCAGAGATTAGGATCTGAGCTTGCAACTCTGAGCTTGCTCAGCAGAGAAGCCCAGATCAACCACAACTGCCTATCTCCACAAGTGCTTCTTCGCAGCCACCACACAAGATGAAGAGGGTGGCACACATGGGTTTGTTGGCATGGAAGCATCCTAGGGTGTCTCAGTAAGCCAGGAGAGCAAAGATGAGTGTTTCAGAATGTCCCCAGCTGGGGAGCGACAGCACAGCGCACAATTAGTATTTCCAGAAACCAGTAAAGCTTGAGATCCACCATGAGAGGTGGTCTTGTCTTGTGTGGTCCTTTGCACTTGGTTTTCCCTCTCGACATAATTTCCAGACCCTGAGCCTTCAACAAACTGTTCCATGGAACATTCCATGCTGGGGAGGTTTGCCCTAGGAGGACACATCCAGTGATGTTTTTGGAAGGACATGTAGGGATAGAATGAAGAAGGTACGTTTGGGTCTCTAGCTTACTGGACAGCCTATGTTGTATGTCATGTGTTAATTGACCATGTTATTGGCGAGGCTTCTGGTCAACCACATGCTATGAGTAAAGTTTTTCAGAAAGTTGAACATGATAAGCGGGGTTGTCTGTGTTTATATGTTTAACCATGTGTAGATGTACAGTCCAGCAGCCTGATATACGCTGCGTTGCTGTGTGACCATGAACCAAAACCTCTTCAACCCCAGCACAAACTCAATCCCAGTTCCTCCTTTCTCCACAGCTTCTCTATTCTGCTCCCGGGAATCTGCCTGTTCAAGTGACTTCCTCTAAGAGGGAGGGGGCACTACTGTCCTTGCAGGGTAGCTAATTTTCATCACTGTTTTCAGGGTCCTCTCATGGAGTAGCCCACATCTGAACGTCTCTCCTCACGCCTGAATACATCCACTCTCTGGCCAGACCACGTTTTGTCCATTTGGTCCGTTTATCCTCTTCATCAAAACTTCAGTCTTCTCAGCGTCTCGCTACTTATGACTTTTATACTTCAACACACAAAATCTAACATTTTTCACTGACCCACGCAACTTTAGTGCAAAGGCCCGAGAAATTCTCATTTTCACTGAAACACAAAACTGTTTAATCTGTGAAGGGGAGAAAGGGGAAAAAAAAGACCTAACCACCATCTGTTGAGCTCGAGCGATCTCTCTCACATTAAATTTCATAGGCAGGCATGATGCCAAGTTTATTTAATGTTTTCCCAACGACGCGTTTTATTTTTAAAATTGTGTCACTGTTTATCGAGGTGACCTGGTTTATAACACCGTATATGATTTAGGGGTGCAGGTTCACACCTCTTCAGATGTATGCTACCAAACCACACCTATCACAACCTCCCCAGACACCCCACTTTTGTCCTGGGGGCCCCTTCTCCCCTGTGATCTTTACCTCCCTCCCCTCCCTCGAGTACCTCAGTTTGACCACCAATTTCTAGGCATGTTTGGTTCCGTTTGCCTCCTCCTTTGCTCTCTCCATGCCACATGCGTGGAACCATCCAGTGCTGTGCTTCTCCTTCTGACACTCGGCGCCTTCCCCTCCAGGGTGGATGGAATTGGTACTGTTAATTTTGCAGAGATCTGGGCTGTCAGGCTAAAGGGCGTCTACCATGTTGGAGCATTGACGCCGGAAAGTCCGTGTCATCGGATCACTTCCACTGGGAAGGTTCTTTCTCTGCAACTGATGCCGAGCGTCCATGTTGTGGGTCTGAAGGATGTTCTGCCAGGCTCACTGAGCCGTGGTTCTGTAGCTCTCCTGTAGGTGTGCATCACCTGGGGAGCACAGACCTTTGGTGCCTGAGTCCTGCCCCCAACGATGCTGATTCATGCTTGTGTGGTTCGGTCTGTAGCTGGAATTTTCAGCAGGGAAGTACAATGTGGAACTAAGGTTAAGAATAACTGAGTCAGAGAATGCTAAATGCAGCTGGGTGGGGGGAGGGCAAGTCCCCTTTTTGGCACCGCCATTTGGTATTTTGAGGCTTGTTTCAGGACAAGCAGTGACCTCTGTTCTGTGTGGAATACGAAAGGTGGATGAGAGATAACAGCAAATGCTGGAGCAGAACCTTCAAACTAAAGGCTAAGGCGGCCTCAGCCGCTGCCTCCCCAGGGCAGGGCTCACCAAGAATTGCTGGTGGTGAGAGCGAGGTTTGGAGACAGGGGTAGAGGAAGACAGGGAGAGGAGGCTGCCTCTTCTCGGCCCACGGGTGCCGGGGCCTCTCTTACAAACCATTTCCAGTTGTTTATTGAGGGAACATGGCTGTATCTTTGGGGGTTAGAATGCATTTGTATAGAACATGTCTACAAATGTATGTTTGCACCCCTG